AGCAGGCAGGTAACTGAGCTGCCGGGAGGCATCCTGGTGGAGGTGTCCTACAACTGCATAGAAATGAAGATTCATTGTGGGAGTGGGGAGGCTGGATTATTGATCTGTGCCTTCTAGAAACAATGATTTAGCTTGTGTCTGTGCAGAATGAGTTCCCTAAGAGAAAACTAAAGCCAGGGAACAAAGAACAAAGGAAGACTCAGAAGAACACCTACCTTAGGGGTCAGAGAGAGGAGCAAAGAAACAAAAGAATTTCATCAGCTGGCCCCAAAATAAATGGAACACACCTGCTCTAAGTGTCAGAAGTTCAAGTCCCTAACAATAGCATAAATGAATGCAGCGATTTATCTTGCAGCCTGAGTCTTCCTACAGGATCACAATGTCTTCTTAATGTCAGGCACAGCATGCAGTTATTACAGCTGCTCATTACTCCTGTTGAGGTGACAGCCTGCCTGGCTCTTGCCTACACACTTAGGAGGACAGATGTCCTCCTGTAAAAGACAGCAGGTAAAGGAGAGATGGGGGCGGGGGGGGGGCGTTCCAACCTTAAGATGCAATCAAGACTTTGAAGTTTCCAGCCACAACACTTTGTTTGTGGGCACTATGTATTCCTCTCTTCACAGAACTTTCTTCGGAAGAAATTTCAGTGGTGTTTATTTACAGTAGAAAGAACTTTCTTAAATGAATGATGGAATTCTGTTTTTTTTTTTAATTGAAGTCTTCATACCTTCATGTGTGGAGGTCAGAGGACATCCTTAGATGTTCTCACCATTCACCTTGTCTGAAGTAGCATCTCTTGTTGGCTGCTGCATAGGCCAGGCTGGTTGGTCCATTCAACCATCTGGAGATTCTCCCATCTCTGTCCCTGGGATTATAGACAACCACTACTGCCTCTGACTTTCTTTACATAGTTCTAGGAGTTCAGACCTAGGTCCCTGTGGGGTTTTGCAGTGAAAACTTTGCCCCCTGCACTGCCTCTGCAGCCCTGGACAGAACTGTAGAACAGCAACAATATCACATCTATTAGAAAATGTGAACACAAACTTAGGATCTCAACACTGCACTCTCCAGAACTTCTGTTTATTGTGGTCAAGAGATGGCAATAACCTTCACATTCACATGAAAAAACCAGTCTAATATCCTTGTGACTTTCACAACCTCTCAGCACTAAAATCTTAGCTAATATCAGGGGGAAATGAATGAGTCTCCCAAAACAAAATATACCCGCAACCATAAAAACAGCTGTGTTTTCCCTATGCAAAGGTAAATAATGAGCCACTGAACAATGTAGTTCTCTGAATTTTTTTCCAAATAGGAAATTTGACCCCCTAAAATTTGAGCAGACAGCCAAGGATGGAGCATGGATTTCTTTCTCACCCCAGGTCAGGCCCAGGCTGGAAAGTACTTCCTTTGGTTTAATCTAAAATACAGTTGGAAATTAATACAACAACTATTTCCTCTATCCACCTTAATTATTGAGTAAAGGTGGAGTGGAGGGCCAACAACAGAAACACTCCATCCTCATGTGTTGTGAGGACACAGCCCTGGCCTCTTACAACATTGACATGGATTAAGAACATGAAATGAGTGTGGATGCTCCTGTGCCTCCATTTACCTCACCAACAAATTACATAGTGGTTCTTTACCAGGAACTCCATGGAGAAAAATACATTTCTCTGATCACATCTTTTTACTTTACCAAGTTGACATTTTCCTGTGTTTATCTTTAAAAGCAGGAGTGGTAGGTCAGCCTGACATGCTTTTTAGGCCATCATAACTTGACTTGGAGAATTGGTTTAAGTTAATAATGTTAATGGCAAAAAATGAAACCCTGTCTACAAAGCTGCCATAGCAGGAAAAGCAAGCCTTTTCTATAACAGCCTTGATCAATGTGTTAGCTACTCCACAGAATATTCAATAGTCCTCTCCCCCACAACACACACACAAAGTGTCCCACGAAACAAAGGCTGGGAGACAGACAGTATCTTGGAGTATCCAGTAATGGGATTTGACAAGAGCCAGGTACTTTGGGCAGGCTCAATCAATGCTAATTGACAAGGAAGGGAGTCAAAGGCAAATAGGAAACCTTGAACCTCGTGGGGTGGGGGTGGGGACCTCTGGCTGGAGGTCTTCTCCTTTTCCCACTATCCTCTTATATTTAATTACTTGTTCCAGTCAGTACAATGTAGTCTAACTTGCTGTCAGGTGGCTTTGGATTGATCTCATGTGTTAGTTGAGGATTTCTTTTAAAAGGAAATGTCTCATGACTGTAGAGACACCTGTCTTTGGAAACAGGAAGTCCTCTGCCAACTAGGTCTCAGATATACCTATGTGTGTGTGTGTATGTGTGTGTGTGTATGTGTGTGTGGTGTGTTTCTATCTGTGCAGGTTTATGTGTATGTGTAGGTACTTGTACATGGAGAGGATACAGGAGGTGCAAGATGGAAGAGAGGTAATACCACGTTATAGAACAGGTTTATATAAATGGGTTAATTTAAGTTATAAGAGCTAGTTAGGAACTAAGTCTAATCTATAGGCCAGGCTTTCATAATTAATAAGAAGTCTCTGTGTCATTATTTGGGAGCTGTCTGGGGAAACAGAGAATTACTTGTTCCAGGGCCCTTCAACTCTCCATCATGGATTGGGCTCATGAGCCTCACCTTTCTCTGAGGGACTGATGGCAGTTAAGGGTCACTGAAGTACAGGGTGTCATTTCTTCAGTGGGTAGCTACTGAAATGTTGACCGTGCTCCTGTAAGTAACCATTCACCCATCTACCCATCAACCCCAATTAAACTCAATCACACACATACACACAGAGACAGACACACAGACAAAGAGACAGATACACACACAAAGACAGACAGAAAGACAGACACACACATACACTCATACACACAGACATACACAGAGACAGACAGACAGACAGACACATACACATGTAGAGGAGAGGGGCTTGTTGGGAAGCAGAAGGGTTCATCATAAGGGTTCAACATAAGGGGTTGGGGTGATAGGAGTGGATGACTAAAATTCATCATATACATGTATGAAATTGTCAAAGAACGAATGAAAAAAGCAGCTGCTGAGCATGCTGGGAAGGTTTGGATGAGTGTATGCCTATACTATCCCAACTACACCTTTAATAATCAGACAGCTTGGCCCAGTTACCTATCCACTTCATGCCTCAGTTTCTCCCACATGAAACAGAGGTACCTGCTTCATGCTGCCCTTATAAAGATTAAATGATCTAGAGCTCCTAAAACATTTTGCTGAGTGGGTAACATAATATGTGCACAACTGTTAGCACAATTATTATGAAGGTTCTTAAACTTCATAACACTGTGACTCTTTAATATAGTTCCTTATGTTGTCATGACTCCCAAACATAAAATTATTTTCATTGCTACTTCACAACTGTAATTTTGCTAGGTATGAACCATAATGTAAATATATTTTGGAAATAGAGGATAACCAAAGGGGTCACAACCCACAGGTTGAGAACCATGGTATTAGTTGATTGTCACAGTTATTGGCACCATTATGACAATTTCAAGGTAGAAAGGGGAGCTGGAGAGATAGCTCAGCAGTTAGAGGCTAAGGCTCACACCCAACACTTCAAGAGTTCAATTCCCAGTGTCCATGACAAAGCCTGTCTCTCCATTTCAATGTAGAAAGTAGAAAATATTTTTTCTTTTTTGCTGTCTTCACATCCTGGGATCATATCTATAATACTATAGGCAATCAGGAAAAGCATTTGCTAGACCACAGACTGAGTAATCTTAGCTCTTGCCTTCACATTTTGGTTGTTTCAAAATCTCAGGCATGGTTATGGAGAGTGTTGGACATGCTCAAACTTGCTTCCTACAAATATGCCAAATGCCCTCCAAACTGGCCATCTGTGGGGTGACATTCCCAAGGAAAAAAGTACTTCCTGGTCAGTGATTAGAAGGAGGCATTCACCTACCATAATCATGGCATGGACCTGAGGTTGCAAATGGGGAGAGTAGTGCCCCAAATTTCTAAATGGACATAGTCATTTTCTTCTTAAAGAAGAATATATATATGATGTGTGTGTGTTTGTGTGTGTGTATAAGCACCTGCAAATAGGACTGTACATGTGCCACAGTACACATCTGTAGGGAGGTATCAGTCAACATCTTCCACCTTGTATGAGACAGGAGTTCTTGTTCACCACTGCATATGCCAGGCTAGCGAGCCTGTGACCTCCCAGGGACTCTCCTGTGACTACCTCCCATCTCACTGAAAGAGTGCTGGGATTATACATACACACTAGTGCATCCACCTTTACGTGGGTTTGGGGGCTCAACCTCAGGTCCTTCCACTTCTGTGGCAAGTTATTCTTTCACCACCCATACTAAGTCCTTCTCTATGAAGAAGAGAGTGTCAACTCTGTGAAAGATGAAAGACATTGGACCCATTTCACATGAAGAGAAAAATAAGGTAACTGGCTATGTGACCAAGGTAGGAGCAGCAGCATCTTATCTGCTGACTTCAGTCCCATGAATCTTCACTTTTCTTTTTTAATATCCTTAAGCAGACAGGCCTATACTGCTACTCTGAGGCCATCCAATTATGCTGAGTCACTCCGTTCTTCATTAACAATGAAATAATCACAATTAATTGGGTGTGTCCATATCCCAAAGTGTTTGCCTTTAGTTCACTAAGTAGACCAGGCTGGCTGGCCAGTGAGCCCTAGGGATCTGCTTCTTCTTTGACTCCACAAGGCTGGGACCACAAGCACAAGCCACCATGTCCAGTTTTGGGTTTTGGTTTGTTGTTGTTTTGTTGTGAGTTCTGAGGATCAAATTCAGGTCCTCATGTTTGGATGGCAAGCACCATACCAACCAAGCCATCTACCAAGCCCCTTAATGCCACTACTGAAAGAGTAATCTGCCTTGACACAGCTGAGATCTCTGGCAGATGAAACCTCTTGTAGGTCTCTACTGGACTTTCTGACAAAACACTAAAGACACAGTTGGGTAGGAATTCAACAGAGGCTTTATTGCTGAGTCAACCAAGGTATTTTATTGTAAGGCAGACATAGTTACAGGACAGACACAGAAATGTCCCCACTTGCAAACCCCACTGCAGAAGCATGCCCTTTCCTTGGCTCTTCCCAAGTAGGCAGGTCCACAGATGCCTGAACAAAGCAGTTGGTAAGGTCGTTGATTTCCTGTTCCTGCTTGACCTTAGAAAACAGCATTGCAAAACCACCCAAACTTGCCCCAAAGATTCAAAGTATCTGGAAGCCACTTTTGATATTTAAAGCATTGTCTGCCATTCTAGCTGCAGGATCAGAGAGAACCCAACTCTCAAAATGTGAGGTGTGTGTTTCTTTGTAGTTCAACATTTGTATCAAACAACTCACAGGGGCCCCAAGTGTAGCACATGGTTGACCGTGTTTTAACTGTAGCTAGTGCCACAGTTAATGATGTCTTTGGTAGCTAAGCAACATGGGTCCTGTATACCATCATCTGAATTCAAACTTGAGAAGACAGAAAGGACGTGAATTTTTAACCTAAAGGTAAGAACTATGCTAGCCAACAATATGGCCCCATTTACAGTCTACCCTAAGACCTGACTTCAGGGAACCTCTAAGAACAGAATCTGTTTGTTACAGTGGTAGAAGAGGCTAAGTAAGGAAACACTATTCCCTTCAGATCCAGAAAGTGGCTTGGGTGGATACCCAACATCCCAGCTAGGCAATCGCCAGGCTACGGGACCATTCCTTGGGAAGGCAAGACCACTTTAACTCTCAAAGAGATAAGAGGAACAATTATCCCTTTAATGAGATAATGTGCTTTTCCTCTCCAGAATCCTACACTCTCATGCAGTTCTTCATAAAACTGTAGCTAGGCAACTTTGAGAGAGTGCCTGCCTTTCTGAACTACTCAGAAAGCATAACTTCTTTTTCTCTCACTCTCTTTCCAGAGCAGCTTTCTTGAACACGTTGGCCTTCACTCTCTCTAAAGCCTGCCCCCATGTGGCTGTTTGTCTGCCATATGGCTGCCCTTCATGTTGCCTATGCTTAAGCTGCATGGCTGCATTCTCTCCTCCATCTTCCACCTCTGGGAAGCTGCTGAGATTTACAGTCTTACAGCTTGCCTTCTCGTGTGTGTGTGTGTGTGTGTGTGTGTGTGTGTGTGTGTGTGTGTGTGCATGTGTGCATGTGTGTCGAATGCTAATAATAAACGTCCCTGAACTTCTTTTGAGTCCGTTCTTACACTGTTTTGTTATTCACAGGACTTAAGAGCTCCATGAGCAGACCCTGGATTCCCCTGGTGACATGTACTCAGGTAGGACTCTCCTAAATTTCTAGTAACATGTTGATAAACATGGCTAATTTGGGGACAAAATTAAACACATTAAAGCAGTTCCTGTTTATAGTTCCCTGAGTCAAGAAAAGAGAAGTACAGGGCAGAGAAAGAGCAGTCAAACTCAGAGCTGGGGTCCCAGGACTTCAGTCTGAACTATTTCAGGCATAGGTCCATGCTAAGAGCTTCTGGATTCCATCCTATGAGTGATGACACCTTCTTCACCATGTTTCAGCAACTTCCAGAAGACCTGAGAAGGTGATCCACCGGCTCTCCAGCCAAGTAATGGGCCTACAGGAGGACACACAGGGAGAGGTCCATTAGGAATGGGTACAAACAGTATGAACATTGAGGAGATGAGGGGCAGAGGGCAGAGCGAATGGGTCCTCACCTCCTCCCAGCTTGCTTCTCTTGCTTCCTCTCCAGAAGCGGGTTTGTGCACTCGAACTGCCAGTGGTTTGGAATTTGGTGGATTCTGCAGTGATCACATTGGAGTCCTTCACCTTGCAGGCCACGCAATCTCTGTTGATAAGAACATAGAATAAATCCTTGGGCATGAGTGACCTATGGAATCGCCTTCTGTGTGGAATCTTACATGACAGACACACACAGAGGAGGATTGTGGGGACAAGAGAAGAAAACGCAGAGAGGATACACTACCTGCCGCCTTTCCCTGGGATTCCCCTAGGCAGTTGTGTCCTGGACTGGAGACTTGAAGTGATTTCTAGGACCTCCCAGACGTCTCAAAGGTCTGAAGGGACAGGACGCATCATTCCACTGCCATGTGGGCACCTGAACTCAGAACTCAGCTCCTTGATAACCTTGGCCAGCCTTGCCCCAACTCTCCTGAGTGGATTCTGTCACCAAAATACTACACAACAGAGCAAAATGCAGTTGGAAATTAACAAGAGGTTCTCTGTGGGCCCCTTGTCCTGGGGTAGCCATCAGGGAAAGGCTGGGCAGATGGGCTCAGGGGTCATCAACCTCCTGGGCTTCTCTTTAGCAGACTCCATGCTGAAGTCACCTCACTATTCAGCTTCCCCCAAGCTTCCAAAGCCCTAAGCGGATTCCATCTAGCCTGCAGTCCATTCCTTGATTCAATCTAATGCAGCTTGTTGGCTCTGAGGACCACACAGAACATGGAAGCAGTTTCTATCCCAGCTGGGCTTCCCACCTGAGCCAAAAGAGCACCAAACTAGAGTGTGAGAGACACAAGAGACACATGGCTCTACCCATGACCCTCTTCCCCCTGCCTCAAGCCATGGAAAGCCCAGGACTCCCATTTTGTGCTTTCATAGAGCCCATGTCCTCAGAACACACGGTAGTTAGCACAAGATGAAGTACCCAGGCTGGGGTCCGAAATTGAAACACTACCCAGACGCACAGAGATCAAAGCATCCATGGAAAGCATCCACACAAAAGCAGCTGCCAATAGCACACCAAACTGATAGGCTACTGCAGAACTCTTTGTGATGAAGAAATATCCTCTGCTGCCTGGTGGAGTGCTCACTAGTCACCTGTAGCCATGGAACTCCCAAAATGCAGCAGCCCTGACTAAGGAATAGGTTTTGAAATTTTATTTGAGTTAAAGTAATCACACTGATCTATTGGCTATCATGTCGCAGTCTTATTCTGTCACTCGGGTGACAGTTTTACTCTTGGAAATGGCATGATTCTCCCTAGACAGGAAGTCATGGCTGAAGATTTAGGCAAAGGAGAGAATGGAGTTCATAACCAAGCACCTCACCTCAGCATATCTGTGAATCTTCCCGCATACCCTCCTCTTTTCTGGTAAAGAGACATGAAAATATCCCTTAGGTCACCATGGGTATCATGTAACACAGCATGTGAGACTGAGCACTTCTCATATACCCTGTATAATGTAAAGTGAAGCTGTATCATGTGGAGATATAACATACATGAATTCCTTGCTCTATGTTTCATGAGCAAGCAGGAGAAAGAGAAAAAAAGAATATAAATAATTGGGTCAGAAACCTTTCACCCTGCACTAGACTCTAAATGAATGTCATGGAGTGAGCATGTGATCAAAGGTACCATCTTCTTTTGTTTTAATCCCAATGACCTATCACAGTTCTAGTGCACTTTTTAAAATGCCTATCTGCACACATGTGCATATATTCATGTGCACAGGTACATATGTGAGTGGGAGTGGGCACACAACATGTGTCCACATGCCCATGGAAGTCAGAAGACAACCCACCCACCATCACCAGAGATGCTCTCCACCTCCTGGCCTGGAGCTCACCAAGAAGGCCAGGCTAGGCTGGCCCTGAATGAAGGTACCTTCTTCCTTTCCTTATTGGCTGAACAATCAGGAGGGTCCAAGCTGGCCTATCATCTGGGGTCTTACATTCCATCTGCTGTGTACATTGGTTTGTGTCTTATCAGAGACCTTGCATAGGCTCCACTCTATGCCTTATGTCCTGTCTATTTTAAAGCTTATGGGGTGTGACCCTGCCACATCTGCAGGTGACAGGCAAGCTTGGCCATTAGTAATTTTCTACTCTGAAGATTTAGTGAGGCTTGGTGGGAGGGATGCCTTGAAGATGCTAGCAAGGCTCCAGTCTTTCCTGCTCAGCTGTAGTTGGTTCTCAGTTGACTAAAGGCAGTCTTGAAAAAATGAACCTTGTTTTGCTGTTTTGCTTTATTTCCAACTCTGTAGAGCCCTCCTGTCTGTTGCTTTTTCAAATGCTAGTGCAGAAACCTGTCCAGATCCCTCCCTATGAGGTCTGCATTCCTCATCTTCGAGTTCATCTTCCAACATTTCACGTTTTAATTCCTTTTCTGACTGCCCTCTCCAGGTCCTTACTGGTGTTGCTTTTGTGGTTCACCTGCCTCCTCCATCTCAGCATCCATTTGAATGGCTTAACAGTTCCAATTCTATGTTCACTCCTCCCATTCACGTAACTAGTGCAGCTGCTGCCTCCTGGCTGGACCAGTCTGATTCATCTCTCCCTCCTTCTTCCATAAACAGCTATGTCACTGAGTATATGGAAACACAAACATCATATGTTTGCTTTACATTTTCTCCCCCATTAAATCTCCCACACCATTAGCACATCCTGACAACTCTTTTCTGGATCTCTACTTTGAACCTAAAATACAGGATTAGGGAAAACAATAGTATACATAAGCTCGCTTTGTTGTTTTTGAGACAGTGGTCTAGGCTGACCCTGGATCCTTCCTCCTCAGCCTCTTGAATGCAGGGATTACAGATGTACAACACCACATCCATCTTAGATCTGGTGTTTTGATATAATAATGGGTAATTAATGCTTGAACTGTGTTCTCAAGGAAATTCCTGGGCACATCCACCAGGGCAACTGACAGTCAGATGAAACACAGGAACCACAGCTAAAACCACACATCAGTTCTTGCAGGAGGCATTTGCTGGAGCCTAGGACCCAGGCCTTCTGTAGAGATCATCAACAACATTATGGTATCCAATGATAAAGAGACTTTGAGTCTTTAATTTCCCATTGTGCCAGCTCTCTAGAGATGATACATCCAGCACATCATGAGAGGAGATCATAATCCATACCTGTTAGATACACTGACCACTCCCACCCAACTCTGCCAACACCAACAGTCTCCTCTTCTACAGACAGTAGGAGACACAAGACAACACCTCTAATCCTTACCTGCCTCTTTAATCTAGTTGGCTTGGAGGAAGGCTATGTCCTGTTAAACCCATGCCTTCTCTGACCACACAGAGATCTCATTTTTCTGAAGTGACTCCTGCCACAAACTCTTTTGTCTACCCACTGTGGAATACTATCTAGACCTATGTTATGAATCCATTTGGTACAAGTTGAACTTTTCCTCGGGGTGGAAGAGGAAGCTCATAAAACTCAGAAAGTCAAAGAAACTTCCAAGGTTCAGGAAGCCCATGAAGTTACAAGATTCACAAAACCCCTTTCCCAGGTTGTAAAAGTAGTAAAGGGTTGTTGAGGAGAGGGGCCTCTGCAGTTGAGCATGGAGCTCCAGAAACACAGCCCTCACCCATGCTGGGTAGGCTTTTCAATAGTATAGTCACCCTCAGGTTGTCTACGATCTTAGATAGAACTCTTTACCCATGTTCTTGCAAATGGCCTTACTAAACTCACTGGGACAAGTCATCTCGAGTAGAATCACTTACTTGTTCTGTCCCTAGTGACCAGCCACTTAATACCTCCCCAGGAAAAGTTGCATAACCTGATAGATGTCTAGTGGCTAACTGGGCATCCAAACTTAGGGAAGTTACCAGAGCCTGGATCTTCACAGCCCGCTCTGTCCCTGGCTTCAGTTACAGACACCTGTTTCCTTAAAACTCAAATCTACTCCTATACTTTCCAAACCAGCATTCTCATCGACAGATAAAGATGCAGCAGAGACTGGTGGCCCTTTACCCAGCTCCCTCTGGTGCTGTCAAGGCATTCCTCCAACTGCTAATGGCGACACCTTGTTACAAGAGGGTTTTCTCCAGAGACTACCTTTTCTGGGCATACAAGTCCAGGAATATCCAAGTCTTCGATGAGGGTCTTCATGCTTGCACAGCAAGCCCCATACTGACTGTACCATCTCCTCAGCCTGACTACCTTCCTTCCTTCTGTCCCTTCGGGCCATTTTAAGCTGTTTAAACACAATACTTGCTCTCAAATCCTGTCTCAGAGGCATCTCGGGGGGAAGAAAACTGTTACAGGGGAAAGCTGGGTTAGTTTAACTGTGATCTCTTCCATCATTTCAAAACGCTTGACATAGATACACATGAATACATAAATGAGGATTTCTGAGCCATGTTAAGTGGATTTATAAATATTATCTAAGTCCATCCTAACCTCAGAGTTTTAATGTGTTTTTCACATTTTTTAATGCACTGGTTCTGTCTCTCTTCTGTAAGCTCATGAGGTGTCCCAAGGTCAGGAGTGTGTCACCTCTTTCCACAATGTCTAGGGTGCCACTCAGAAGACTGAATATTTATTTAATCATGGTCTATAGACAAGAGGCCATGGAGGTCAGGCTGTTGGCCTCACAGGCTTGTCGGGGTGACACAGATCTGAAGAGAAGGACACCGTGGTGCTACTTTCCAATGCTGTGGAGCATAAAATATTCTGAAAGCTCAGAAGCAGAGCTGACATTGAGGCAGCACCAAGCTAGGAGATGAGAAACTGCAGCATACACTAAGGCCTGCAGGCACATACAAGATACTGTGTTAATATGTGATTTTCTGCTTCTGAGGGATGCTCCTCCAAAGGCTAACCGAGATGAGTCCTTTATTTCTCCTTCTTTCCTTCTTTTCTTCCTAGGACTTCATAGCATAGCCTGGTCTCAGACTATGTAGGTAAAGATAACCTTGAACTCCTAATCATCCTGTCTCCATGTCCTAAGTGTTGGGATTAAGGCATGGACCACTGATTCTAGTTTATGTGGTGGGAACAGATCAAAGTCAGGATTCATGCATGCTAGGCAAGCACCTGAGTTATCTGAGCCAGTTTTTTTTTTCAATGAAAATCCACACCTGG